GTGTGTGTGTGTGTGTGTGTGTGTGTTTGTGTGTGTGGGCATGACTGAGTGTGTGTCTGTGTGTTTTTTTCGTGTGTGTTTGTGCGTGTGTGTATGTCCATATGTGTGCGATTGTGTCTATGTGTGTGTGTGTGCTTGCGTGCCCACGCGCGCGCGGCGCGCGCGTGTGTGTGTGTGTGTGTGTGTTTGCGCGATTGTCTGTGTGTATGTGTGTCTCTGTATGCGCTCGTGCATGCGCACATGCGTGTGTGTGTTTGTGTGTGTACGTTTGTGTGTGTGTGTGTTTGTGTCTGTGCGTATGGGTGTGAGTGTGCATGCGTACGTGCGTGCGTGCATGTGTGTGTCTGTCTGAGTGTACATGCGTGCGTGCGCATGTGGGTGTGTGTTTGTGTGTGTGTGTGTGTGTGTGTTTGTGTGTGTGTGTGTGTGTGTGTGTCTGTGTGTGTCGGTGTTTGTGTTATGTTAGAACAACACAACGTCTGAATAATGCATTGCATGAGAACAGATAAATGATACAAATTAATATCGCTACAGGGAATAAGACTGTCATTGCGCGGGGGAAAAAATAGAGCTCCAATTGTTATTACTCGCCTTAATTCTACATTATTCCATTCTGATTGAGGAAATGAATTAGTCATCATCTTGCGATTAGCTGGGCTGATTATACTTTTTTGGTCCTAATACATTTGTAGCTGTTGCGTCACCAATAAATACAGAACTCCTTCAGAACAGGCCACACCAGCTATTTTCATCGGTTGAAGCAGTATGAAACAGAACGAAAGAGTGACAATAAAGCCATGCATACCCAACCGGACACATGAATAGACATAAAAGTTTTGAACATTTAGCTCTCTCTTGCAAAATTGAAGGCAAACGTGGCAGAGGTAGACCCAGAGGAATGAATGCAGAATGATGATGGCTGATGTATGTCGCAGAACTGACACTTGATGGTGATGATGTCAAAACATTTCATTGAGGTTCATAATCCCATTGCCTTAGATCAACAAAGAAAAAATGAGTATGTAGTTTTACTTAATTCATTGACATTCATTCATTCATTCAAAGGCTAAAATTCCAAGCTTTGACTTGAATCAGGCCAATGCAGATCCTGAAATAGTTTATAATATGAATATAAGGCAGGTATGATGTGCGGTTGTTGTTGTTTTTTAGGGGTAGGTTAAGCATATTGAGTAATAAAGAGAAATAAGATTGGAAGCACAACCCCAGTTCAAGAAAAATGAAGATGGTATGTTTATCATTATTATTATAATTATTATTATAATAATAATTATTATGATAATAATAATAATAATAATTATTATTATTATTATTATTATTATTAGTTTTTGTGAATCTGCTAGTTATTGCCAATTAATTGACACTGCCATTGAAGGAAGATGTGGTTAAGATCTTTGCCGTCACTTGCAGAAGACATGAGTTCAAAACCGCCCTGTTCTGGGATGTTATCTCGTCGAGTATACCCATCTGTGTGCTGGGATGTTGTATCTTTGTATCCCACTCAACCCAACTTGGCCTGAGATACGGGTCGAAGTATCTCGCCTCGTAAGTGATTTATATTGCGTCAACGACGACCTAAAACAAAAAGATTTTGTAGTCAGAACGAAGATTTTCCTTAGCGCCTCGAAATACTCGTGTTTTGCGTACGCACGGTACAGAGTAAGGTGAGAACAGGGAAATTGAGGACGAGGTGTGTGTGTGTGTGTGTGTGTGAGAGAGAGAGAGAGAGAGAGAGAGTGAGTGTGTGTGTGTGTGTGTGTTTGGGAGGAGGGGGAATCTTGCTTATTCTTGTAAATTGTTTCTCGAGAACAAAACAAAGAAAGGGGATTGGGAAGAGGGAGTGGGGATGGGGGAGAAAAAGAGAGGCACGGAGGCAGGCAAAGAGAACGAGAGAAAGGAAAAGAAAGAGAGAGAGAGAGAGAGAGAGAGAGAGAGAGAGAGGAGGGGGAGGGAGGGAGAGGGATGGGAGGATGGGCGGGCTGGGCCATTGGTCAGGGGCTAAACAAGCACAGGGGCCCCATGTTAATACATGTTGGCTGTGACTTGCTGTAAATAAATTATTAAATACAATACTATATTATGTAGGTGTGGGCCCCAGAGCACAGCCACACCATTTCCTAGATAACGCAAAGGTGGCCCTGAGAGGAGGAAGGGGAGAGATGGAAAGAGAGACAAAGAGAGAGAGAGAGAGAGAGAGAGAGAGAGTTTGGTGTCTTTGGTTGGTGAAAAAATAAAACCTTTACATACATTTGTATCATAAGAAGGTACATGTTATATTTGCTGAACATGCACAAACATAAACAATTTTTCAGAGTAAGACTCTCTGTGTGTGTTTTTGTGTGTATGTGTGACATGTCTGCACATCTAAGTACACTAGTCTCCACCTAAACTCCATGAATGCTTGGGATGACATCAGGCATCCTGAGAGACTTTTCTCTAATGATTCCTTGAACTAGTGCATATAAAAATTTCGTCAAGCATGACTGATCACTTGACTAAATCATTAAACCAATAGACCTATCTATTATTCTACAGAGTTCATGTTCGATGAGCATTACAGACCTACCTAAACATTATAGTGACCCAAAACAATAGTAACAAACCTTCTCTCAAAGACGCATTTTGAGTGACCAATCAAAAGTCATTTCAGTCACCCCACCCCCCACCAAACATATCACTCGCCCACTCCTATGTGTTCGTAGAGCTTGACTGTGAACACACTGCTGAACCCTTTTGTTGCTCTGTGCAAGGAGCAACCTTGCCAAATATCCTGTTGCTTAGACTTGTCTCTGTTATCATGATGCACGCTATCTAGGTAGTTGTGAAGATTTTCTTTTGTCCCACTTTACCTGTTGGCGCGTTTTGCAGATCGAAGCATGTGTATAGAGGAAGTGACCGTTCATTTGTACTTCTAAATTATATAGTAAAAAAAGTCATATGACGAAAACATTCATTTCAAAGGAGCATAAATTTGTATGGCATGCATTTTGGTGGAGACTATTTTCCACAAGTTCATATGTTCTTGGGTCGGTACTTTGTTTTGAATAGATCATGGATATCAATACCTCTTTAATTCTTACAGAGAACACATTCTTAAAAAAAACATTCATAATTACAACATTTGCAGTAAGATAACATCTGCTAGTTTACCTGACGTGTCAACTGGTACTGGAGTTTCTCTAACTGTGACAGCCGCCCATCAAAATCTGCACTGTCCTTGTCATCTCTCCGGTCATTCCTGTCAACTGTTACCTCTTTATCAAAAGGCTTTTCTTGCATTGCATTTCCTGAGATTCGAAAAAAGAAAAGTACAGTTATACTCATCTATGACTGCCACCTGTTGTCGAGGAGAAAATTGGTTGCCTTAGACAGGTGGACCTCTTACACAGTATCATTGTAAAGTAAAAGAAAGCAGGTTCAACTGTCCTTTTTACTAACACAAATTAGTGCAATTGCCAAAGGAAAGAAACTGGGAAGCTCCCCATCTAACATTATGCTCATACTGACTAACAAACTTAAACATAACAGACTTGAAGTTGTAAACGATTAATCTATAAATAAAACACCAGTCTTTGATTAGCTTGAGAATCAGCAGCGATCACTTGCCTTTAGATTTTAGTATAAAAGAGAATGAAATATTGCTAATATGCACCAGAGAATGAAATGCCAATCTGTACGTCGATGTAATGAGCTTTCTTTTTTTTTATCAAGCTTTTTTTTAAGGTTTTCAGACTCTTGATCTTTACAGTGGAATTAAAAGGCTCTTTCACTTGTTGGCATCACCAGGTGTGGAGTTACCGTTGCACTCAATGACATTGACAGAGCTGCCCTACTCCATTAACCCCTTCGCTGCTGAGACATTTCTTTCTACTTGTGTTCAGACAAGATAAATTGTTCGTTCAAGAGAGATTAAGAAAGCCATAATATCCCTCCCCTTATTTAAGAATAAGCAACCGATCAAACTGTCGCCCCATCTTCTCAAAAGATCTCTATGAAGCAGTAGGGAAAAAAAGTCAAAGAGAGGGTGGTTGGTGGGTGCTCTAGTGTGCTTTGTTCCTTCTTTCCTATCACACATGTTTAATATACATGTATTGTCTTAATCTCTCCTCCTCCCTTTTTGTGTTTGTTACTCTCTAATCACACCTCTCATCTTCGGCACTCATATGACCTTATCGTGTTGCAAGTGGTGTAAAACTCTAACTAAAACTGGAATGTCAGAGAACCGGTTTTGAAAAGCGCAAGTGGGTACACACGTCTGCACAGCAGTGAAGGGGCTAAAAGGCAGGAAAGGAAATAATCAAACATTAACATAAATCAGAAAGCGTGTAAAACACCTCCGACTTTTCTTTATTGTTCAGCATATAATAATTGTGCTATTTATCATCATGAAATAATAGTTCGTTACTACTTTTATTTCACCTCTTTACCTGCATTTTTTAGCTGAGCTCTGAGCCTGTTATTTGACTCAATCAGCTGCTGATTTTCTTTAGCTAGTTGCACAATCTTAGCCGCAGCACTCTTCAGTTTGTACTTCAGGTCACCATGGTTGACCGTGTCAGCGACGTGGTCAAACTTCCCAGACAGCTTTTCCGCATCCGAAGCATCCAGCACAGTGGCTCTTTTGCGGAGCTGGCTCAACTCAGATTGGAGTTGTTGGATATAGAGCTCCTGTATCGGGGACAAGATACATGAAGTAACAACAGATTCACTTTCGATTAAAAAATAAAAGAAAGTAAACAATGGGAAACCCTTCTGAAGAGAGTCTTACCCCATCATTTCTTCCCGCATAACGCGTAGAGTGTTAACATCTGAGCTGTCATTACTATTTCAAATTGAGTCCTTTGTATTTTCTTAAGTGATACATCACTTGAACATGGAATTTCAAAATTTGGACAGACTGATCCATGTAAAAAATTTTAATGGGACTATGTGTAAGTTGAAAAATTGTGAAAACTTTGTTAAGACAAAAAAGAACAAAAAGTTTGATTTTTTTTTCGAAAGAACACAAATAACTTTGAAAATCTCATTGAAGCCAGGAGTGTCCATTACTTTATTTTCGAATGCATATGTGGAGCATCATAGTGAAATCAGACGTTCGTCGAAATAATGAAATCGAAGATATCGCCATTTTTCCTCCAGTTGGACAATTTTTCTTCTATTTTTTGGGGGGCTCAACACCTTTTATGTCCATATAAAAACACAATTCCCTGTGAATTTTGTTGAAACACGATCAAAGGCACAAAATATGTGATTTGTCAGTTTTCTGGGACTCTCAAGCTATTGAAATTCAAACTTTGGCAGCCATTTCTCGCTAATTTAACCACTGAAACAAGGCAACCCAACCTCCATCAATCGTAAATATCTTGACTTCTATTCAAGATAGAAGGGTATTTTTTTCATTAAAAGCAAGGCAAATGAATAAGCTATCAAATGATACCAATGACTCCAAATTCCCAAAAATTGAAGAGTGCCTGATTCCACCGCGTCGTAACACATATGATTGGCAATCAATAACTCGCTTAACAAAATTCACACCAAGCTGGGAAATGGGCCTCAAACCTTATAGTAAAAAGAAAAAGCCCCCAAAATAGCAAAAAATTAGAGAGGAGAAAAGTCCAAACAACTGGACACTTTAACTGACTTACCTGAGCACCAAAATTAATAGATGGGTTTGCCTCTGCCTTTTCCATTTTTAAAGCAGACAACTGAAATAAAAACATAATTCTTTTCTAATCAGAAGGTACCGGTAGCTGAAGGGCATAACATGTTTAATTTGGTACTGTTTAAGGACACTTTGAAAAGAGAAGCATTTCCTTTATTCATGCAGATTTACTGATTCTGTTTCCTTGATTCTGTTTCCTTCACCAGAAGTCTTAAAAGGCAGATAACAATACACATACTATGAAATATGCAAATTTGTGTTTCAGACTTCCATATGATGTTTTAAAATGTTCAACAACACTACCCCTGTCCAGGTGTTGATCAGACATTTTATATGTCAGCTTTGTCTCTTAACAGTTGACTCTCCAATGACAGTGACCACACGGGACAAGGATGTTATTCTTATTAATTTGTGAGAAATACAAATATTAAGTCTTAACTCATGGATAGTTTTTCCAGAGAAACATGAGTGCATTGAGATTTTTACAGTGAAAATCTAACAGCTACTGACCGTACCTTAATAGTGTTACAAACACCCACATATAATACATAAGCAAAGTTAAGATAAGGTAACACATTGGAAGACAGCATAATGATTATCACAATTAAGTAAATTAATAAGTTTTTAATATTGAACCACTAAAACTTAAAATAGAACAAACAAATAATAAATAGATAAGGGTAAAAAGTAGAACCTTTTTTCATAATTTAATTTATTTACTGCATAATTTCTTTTCCTCATTCTGATTCCTGGAGTTCTAACTGGCATGCTGAGTACATCTAAACCAAGATCCTTCATAGTTAGACGATTGCGGACAAATCTAATAATAGACACATCGTAGCGAAAGAGTTAAATCACAATGGTGTACCTGGTTGCCAAGAGCCACAAGTTCCTGATTTCTCTCCAGACTAGCTCTATGGTACTCATCCGCTTCCCGCCTCGCCTCACTCAGCTGTAGTTCAAGGTCACTCACTCGGTTCTTCAGGCCAGTTACCTCCCCCTCGTGCCTCCGTCGCTGGCTGCTCAGCTCATAGTTGAGCTGGTCAATCTGTATCTGCTTCTGGCGAGGCTTTAGATGGACAGAACCAGAAACTTACCTGAGATGTCTCTTAATTGTATCAAATATCTACAACACAATGAGGAATGATATTGTATATTTTAGATATATTAATACAAGCTCATGGAAAAGTATGTGCACACACCCACACACATTGTTCACTCACTCACTCACTCTCTCTCTCTCTCTCTCTCCTCTCACAAACACACAAACACAAACATATGTATAAATAGAGACAGAGAAAGAGATAGGGAGAGAGAGAGAGAGAGAGAGAGAGAGAGAGAGAGA